TACCATTTTCTTACAAGCGTGTCAAAGAGCCTAATCCCATCAGATCTAGTATGGCTATCTGCAATCTTTGCAAAAAAAGTGTAATTTTGCAGAACAAATTCTTAAACGTGTGGTAGTGTGTATATCTAAAAGAAATTACTCTTTTCTTAGGCAATGTAGATGTCAGATCTTTTGTTGCTACTCCATCCTTTCATGGTACCCTGATAATGTGATGTTTTTGTGGTAGTTCTAAGCCGTGACAAAGTTTTGTCAGGTCAACTCTATTATGCATTTCATGTTTGTACCTTGATGTTTTCCTGATCGTGTACTGTCTTGATGCTTATTCAGCTATGTCACTGTTTCATTTGAAACTGAAAGCTTGTATATCTGTATGCATGCTAGCATTGTTGATAACATAATATCCTTGGATTTGTGTATTCTGTACACAATTGTTCCTCATCCACAGTACTATGTATGAGAAACTGAGTGTAGAAGAGAGGTTCAGCTAAAACCAACACATGGTTTAAGAAAAGAGGCTAAAACCAGTACATTGTCATAACTTTGTTTACAGTGCCCAGTGCTCCACAGCATGAATCATGTCCTGTCTCTGCTTTTTAACTACAAATCACATTTTAAGCTAATTGTTCCTAAATTGGTAATCATGTGTGATTTTCTAATTCATCGATCTTATGTGCAGGATTATGAAATTGATGTAAGTTCAAGAGAATATCAAGCAATCCATCCTCAACTGGCTACAAAGGAACCTCATCTAATCGAGGAACATTTCGAGAGTGTTAGTGAAGACGAAGAAGAACAAGATGCTGATTCATCTGATGCGTCAGCGGAGTCTGACAGTGACAATGACACGCATAATTCAAAGCGTATAAGGTGAGATCTCATCTCATTTTGGTTACGGGGAACTGTGTTGTATGTAAGCTTTTTTCTTTTTGCGGAAAGCTTCTGGGAGTGTCAATTTTAGATTACCTCAGAGTATCCAGAATGTATGTATGAATCCATCCCTACTAAATTGGCTGTACTGTCTGTCATATACTCTTATTTGCTGAATTCTTCTTGCTCACCAGAAACATGCTAATGCGGAAATCTTACAGGTTGTATGAAGTGAAGGATGGACGCCATGCCGAGGCATTTTTGAACAGTGTCTCCCTTGGCAATGAGGAAGCTGTGCCCATTGGGGACAGGGTAGCCGCACTCGAAAGGAAACAGAACTCGCGTGCACTCGACAAGGTGAAGTACGGGCCCGGTGGCTCACGGGAGATCTCCTTCAACCCTAGGAGCTCAAGAAGGCGCACCGAAGAAGACGAGCACAGCGAAGAAGAGCAGAAAGACTACAAGAGGAGAAGCGTGCAGTCCCTGGGGTTGAAGCAGAACAAAGCCGAGTTCTATTTATTCGGCGGACGTGGAGGCAGAGGAGGCGGGGGTGGTCGCGGCAGGGGAGGCG